GTAAGTGAAAGAGAAAAAGCTAGCAAGGAACTGAAACTAAAATATGGGTAAAGAATTTTCTTTGTAGAGGAAGGGAAAGGCACTTTTGGTTGAAATTAACACAGTTGGATAAGACTAGTAGAAATAATGATAAGTGAGGAAAGGGAAGAAAAAGGTTATTTGAAAGCTCATGCTAAAAGGAATTATATATCCACAGGCGTAAATTTTTGATGGGAGCCTCCAACGTAAGATAAAAGGGTGCTGCTTCCTCACTGATAAATTGAGTTATTATCTATAATTCTCTGCTTCTATCCAATCATCTTTCACTGACCTGAACAAAGGCCTCTTGTCAGCTCTCTGCCAACCAGCCAGGGCTCTTTCCCTTGTTCCAATAAGGAGATCACTTGAGGCTTAGGAACATAAAGTCCTGCTCACGAGAAAACATAAGGAATATTGTTATGCTGTGGGTATTCCAGACATCAGATCCAGTCCTTTGGTGATCAAGTAAGAGCTGCCACTATGGGAAGAATCAAACAAAGATGAAGACACAGCTTCAGTCATAGTTCACTGGAGTTGTGCATCTCCCACTCTTCCTTTTCATTCTAATTCAAATACCTCAGACTTACTTTTTGGTTCCAGACCATCACAATAAAGCAAGTATCACAATAAAGCAAGTCACGCAGTTTTTTTGGTTTCCAAGTGCATGTGAAAATTATGTTTATACATCACTGTTGTCTATTAAGTATGCAATAGCATTATGAAAAAATTTGAAATATTGTGAGAATTACCAAAATGTAACACAGAGACATGAAGCATATATTGGGAAAACTGCCAATAGACTTCCTTGATGCAAGGTTGCTACAAATCTTCAATTTATCTGCAAAGTGCAATAAAGCAAAGTACAATAAAATGAAGTATGCCTGTACCAAAAACAACAAAACAACCTATTGCTATTGAGTTGATTCCAACTCATAGTGACCCTACAGGACAGAGTAGAACTGTTCTACAGGGTTTCCAAGGGTGTAATCTTAATGGAAGACAGCTACATCTTTCCTCCAAAGTGCAGCTGGTAGGTTTGAAACACAGACCTTTTGGTTAGCAGCTGAGTATTTAACCAGCATGCAACCAGGGAATAGGGAGCAGAAATTCAGTTTGTAACTTGAAAAGTCACTGAGAATTACACTTCACTGTGATTGAGCAGACATTCCAAAGGGAAGACTTTGAAATATTGGTATAGATTCCCTTACCCATTGAAACCAGATTGCTGTAATTCTCCAACATCACATCTCTGTACAAGTCCCTCTGAGCAGAGTCCAGGCATTCCCACTCCTCCTGAGAGAATTCTATACACACATCACTGAACATCACTGATCCCTGAAACAATAATCACATGTATAACTTATATTACTTGTATTGTGAGATAAAGCAAATGAGTAATTAAATTGGTGTCACTGAGATCTAGTATCTTTGTTGTTGTTATTAGGTGTCGTTGATTTGTCTCCAACTCATAGCAACCCTATGTATTGTTGTTGTTGTTATGTGCCATCAAGTCGGACCCGACTCATAGCGACCCCTCCTTGGGTTTCCGAGGCA